ATACTGAGCTGTGCATTGGTAAACTTTCTGTTCAGTTGTACTGTTTTAACACATCGGGTCAAATTCACTGCTCAATTTCAATTTTCAGAATAAATAGTGTTTGCAGTAATCAAATTGGCTTCTGTTTTCAATCTAACTTACAAGTTCTTCATGAAATGCTATGTCGTTTTATGTCCTGTGTCAGTTCACATTCTGGTCCACCTTTTTCAATATTTTAGTGGACCCTGAAATATGTGTGATGTAACAATTGTCATTTTCATTAGCAAAAAAGTTGTATGATCTGTGCCTTTTTTATATCTTGGCAGGTAGGAATATTATATTTGGATGCAGAAATCAGGGAAGATGAGTTGGTAACACTAAATGTAAAATATATGTAGCAATCCTTGTCAGACGTTAGTACTTTATAGACAAGTGCATGCTTTCCATAATTTTTCCTTACATAAACATTGAGTTAGGCAGTTATAAGAATAGGAAGTTTATTTTGCACTGAAGATTTGGCAAATAGTGTTATTGAAAAAAGGTTGTAATTTTTTTCCTTTGTAGGCAGTACAGGAGCTTTTCTCTTTTTTTCTTAAAAAATAATAAAAAACCCCTTTCCACTGTGGAAAACTAAAAAAAAAAAAAGAAAACTCATTGTTACTGAGGGAACAAGTGTAATGTGTTCACAAGCTAGTAATGTGTGCCTGCTATTTGGCCAGATGACCAGTTCAAAGCACTGATGTTTTTCATCCTCCCAGATTTTTTTGAATTGCTTATTTTAGTTCAGGGGCCATCTCAGGAGAGGTAGGAAGAAAATGACCACGTGTAATGCCCTGGAAAGTACAGATACAGTAGTTGGAGATACTGGAGGTAGAAAAAAAAGTCATCATATTTTGAGGTACAAGGTCTGAATTACCAGCCCATTCTAAGGTGTCATGGTATTTGATCCAAAGTACAGTTGTACACCTGGGAAGTGGTGGGGGAAGCTGTGCTTTCTTTTATTTTGGATCATACATTAACTTACTGAGCAAAACTGTATAAGGACCTTTATTTTAATCCATTTTTATTCAGATTGCTCCAGAAGGAGAGCCGCTGTTTATGTACAGACTTGTACAAACTTGATCTGATGTATTTTGTGAGTTTTGTTTCTTTGGTTTTTTCATTCTTTTTTTTTCTTGCATACAGGTGAGCATACTAAAAATGGCAAAGAACTGCACATGATTTAACAAATATAAAAATGTCTTAAAAAGTATTGCCAAACATTAATGTTGATTTCTAGTTATTTATTTTGGGAATGTATAGTATTTGAAAACAGAAATTGGTACCTTGCACACATCATCTGTAAGCTGTTTGGTTTAAAATACTGTAGATAATTAACCAAGGTAGATTGACCTTGTAATGTAACTGCTCTTGGGCAATATTCTCTGTACATATTAGCTACAACAGATCGGATTTTATGTTGACATTTGTTTGGTTATAGTGCAATATATTTTGTATGCAAGCAGTTTCAATAAAGTTTGATCTTCCTCTGCTAACTGATGTTGATGCAATCCTTATAAATGATTGCTTTTAAAAATCTCAACTTACAGAAAGTAGAAAAAAGTATTTCTTTATTTAGACTTTAATGGCAGCCATTGTTTATTTACACATTTCAGAAGGCTTTTAAAATATTACCAGTTTTCAAAACTATGGCACATAACGCTCAAGAAAACACAATCTCATGATGAAATGCTACAGTACCTGTTGAGTTGTCACACTACGTGCACTGTATTTCTCACATTCAGTGGTTGAGTTTACTAAGGTGCTAACTAGGTTAAAATGTGAAGTTACTAAACTAGTCTGACTCATTCGCTGCATTCCATTTTCAAACGCATTTTGGGGTTATGACCTTCAGTATTTGTGTGCTTAACATGTATCCCTTTCAGTTCATATTGCAGTGGTTTTAAATGTTATTAAATTTCAACAAATTAAACTGTGAATCTAAATGTACAATCTTATTTTGAAAAGTCATGTTGTTACAAAACTTGAAAGTGCAACAAATGTCTGATGCTTAAGTTCAGGTTCATCCTATTGGTAACTTATAAAGTATGGTCTAATGAATTAAAATTATTTTTAAAATAAAGTACTTTCAAAAGAGTGAGAGGTATTTGTGGATGATGCCAAAGTCTAAATTCAGTAGTGTTAAGCTCAAAGCTTATAAATTAGCAAATACTTACAGAAATAGGAAGTTTGTGTTTTCTTTCTGTACTAAATGTGTTTTTGTCAGTGAAGGTGGGAAGTTAAGATTTTTCAGAGTTGGTATAAAACCTTGGCAAGGGGGAAAAGAAATAATCTTTGTATACAGCTTTGGAACATTGATAAAAATCTCTATGAACATTCATGAGCTCAAGAAGCAACTAAGTTTAGTTTCTTGAATATAGAACTTATTTAAATTACTTAGCTCTATATCAGCTTTTTCAGCCATTTGTGTCTATAATATTAAGTACCATACACCATGCTTGTTTTCAACAATCCAGAAACAAAATTGAGCACTGTATGACACTAAGCATGGGCTGTGTGTTCTTTGTGGGAGGACTTATTGTGAAAAATAACTTGTTTTCCTGAACTACAGTATGTTTCCCTGCAGAACCCTCCAGTGTTGACATTAAAAGGCAATAGATTAATTAGGTTCCAGTGAGAGTTCCTCAGTCACTTCAGGAACCCTGCCGTATAATTACGGTAAGTGGCATTTGGTATTAATCTGCAAGAGGAAAGGTGGATCTCAAATTTTGTTATGCTGTGTATTTTTTAAGATTTTGTATATTTCCAGAAGCAGTAAGATTTTTAGTGGAATACCTGATGGGGGGAGATGATGATGCTATTTTTGGTGGGTACTTTAAAGATCAGTACTTTGGTTTTCATCCTAAGTGATGCTAGTCAAGGTCTTTTCCGTCTGTGTTCACATCCATAATAGTCAGGGTGACTAGAGCTTTTAATGCCTTGACAGTGTAAGTCAGCTTTATCTATGTTAGGAGCAGTGGGGTTAGTTCTTCAGAGTTGGGTTCGGAATAGATTCCAGTTTGATCTGCAAAGTTCTCCTTCCCAGAGTTTGACTAGGCTTAAGTGTGGTACTACAATACCTCTTTAATTTTCGACAGTTTGAGTCTGCTGCAGCAGACTCTGGATCTTTGGCATGCATGAAGGGATGGATCTTCTTTACTGCTTTTAACAGTTTTTCAAAATGTATCCCACGTGTCCTGCTTTCATGATTATGGAGGTCATCAATCTTGAGCAGTTTGTGATGAAGGTAAATAATTTCTACTAATCCATAAATAAAAATAGTTACCACTTCATGTTGCTGAAAGTTTCTTTGCAGTAGACTTCAAAGTAGTAATTTTTGTGTGCTTTGAGTGCTATATAGAAGTGGGTAATAAAGAAGATCAGCAATCACAGAATGGTTTGGGTTGGAAGGGATCTTAAAGGTCATCCTGTTCCAGCCCCCTGCCACGGGCAGGGACAATTCCACTGCAGCAGGTTGCTCCAAGTCCTGTCCAATCTGGCCTTGAATGCTGCCAGGGATGGGGCAGCCACAGCTTTTCCAGGCAACCTATGCCACTGCCTCACCACCCTCGCAGGGAAGAACTTACCCATAGGTGATTGGTTTGTGTTTCTGCTCAGGGTTCAGTAGAACAAGACTTTCTTAATTTTTTTTTTTTGCACAGAATAGAAGAAACCAATTTCCCATGGAAGCAGTTAATTTAAAGCAAAGAAAAAAAAATCCCATTAACATAGTCTGTATAAAGGACCAAGAACTCGACTCTGCTGCAGAAAGGATGTAACAGAATCGTTTAGGGAGATTTGGGTTACTTGATGTGCTTTTTTTTTTTTGGCTAGTGTACTTAAGCTGAGCCTTAGGCATAGACTAGTTAAAACAAGGAGAGTAACCAGTCCAAAAGGTAATAAAAAGAAAATCGAGTGGTCAATGTGGGGGCCAATTTTCTTGGAGTCTTGGCAGTCTGAAATGTCCTGTATTTGTGTATCAGAAATACATCACACTATATGCAGTGTTCCAAGAGAGGAAGCAATATGGGAGATCTTAATTGTATGTGAAATCATATGCTTCAGAAAATGAAGAATGTTTGTTCTGTATGAGGCACGTTTCTAAGTATCTTCTTACTGGTGCTGTTGAGAGTGGCTGTGTCTAGTCTGCATATAGAATGAAACAAATTGAGGACACGTTATATTGGTGAGCTAATGCTGCATGCAAATTAGGTTAAAAGGAATCACCCTTTAAATTCACTATTCAAAGAAAAAAAAAAAAACCACAACATTTACATGTGAATATATAGTGAATGCATAGCAAAAAAATAGCCTTTTGTTAAGGTTTCTTATCAGATCAAATGGCTCTTATAGGATACTTCTTTTCTGAAACAGAAGTTGTTCTAGGCAGTTCTAGGAGAACTGCTGTTTTTTAGGGCATCTGAGTTTACTTTAGGTTTCTGTATTTGTAAAACCTTGTTCCTAGGTTGTGCAAAGAGCCTCAAGAAAAGGAATGGAAATATTACAGCTTTGTGTTAGGTTGTGGTGATATTTGGTGAGCCTGTGGGGTGATCCCATTACCTAATTAATTAATGTTTAATAAATTATTGGGAAGCTAAGTTAAGATCTCTTAACCAAATCTTGTTCTGAGGAGTGAGTGTATTTTCATGTCCTGAGGTATCTGCTGCCTGGCCTGCACAACTGAATAGTGTTTGCACACTGAAATGTGATAGGTAATAGCATAAACTTGGTTTAAATTTAGTGAATTAAAAGATTAAGAGACTTAACTATCTTGGGAAGGAAGGGGGGCTGATTTATTTGAAACTCTGTACAGCTTTTTTCTGGTCTGGTTGTTGATGCATTTATCACATCTGTACTGTTGATTCTGAGCTGCGTCATAGTAACAGGGAGCTCATTGTGATGAGCTTTGATTCCATGTTCTGTGGAACAAGTCTGTAGTTGTAGTATTCTGGATAGCTGTAGTCTTCCTGTTCCAACAGTAGCAGAGACAACAGCAAAAGTAGTATGTAATGGGGAAAACTTTAATTGTCTCTTTATTTCCCTTGTTTTATTTCTCCCATTAGGTGTTGTCCTGTATGGCATTAGATGTTAATAGGTGTCTTGGCAAATATTGTTTCTTAAGAGGACAGAAATCATTTCACATTTACTTACCAAAGCAAAGTTGCTCTGTGGGACAGAATGTGTCTGTATCTTGCTTTGGAGAACAGGTACCTTCTAATGGCAGGAAAGTTTTCCTCAGTTATCAGGAGTGAGAGGAATCAGACCCCTTAAAGACTAATACCTTTGTAAAATGTCATCTTTTTCCTTGTGTAGCACTTCAGAAAGTGGGGTTGCTCTCCTTCACCAATACTAGCAAAATAATCTCTAGGTTTAAACTGTCTTAACTAAATATGCATGATAATAATAAAAAGAAGATCTTTCTAGAGGTAACAACAGGAGCAGCAGGCAAAGTGGAATATAGCATCTGGCAAAGCAATCTTTGGGGGTTGGTTGGAGGTAAAAAAACCAAAATCCCAGTTTAAACCTGCTGTTAAATTACTGTGCATATACTGGGAATTTCTAAAAGTTTTTATCCATAATATCACTTTGAACCACCTTTATAAACTCTTACCCAGAGAATCTCATATGTTCTGATTTCTAATTGTTATTTCGACAAGCTAAACTAGAATTCAGTTGTAAGCTTCTAACAGTTTTTAGTTCTTCAATTTTGATTCTGTTCATAAAACCTGAATTAAATTTTTTAGCTAAAATTGATATTTTTAGGGTGCCAGGTGTTTATCTCTCAGACATTTCAGAGAGAGGGTTTTTTGGCTGCTGTCTCCTAACCGGATGTTTCCTTTAAGCTCTTATGAGTAATTTCCTTAAAATCACTTTTTGCAAAAAAAAGATTTAACTGGGTTTGGCCTCCTTAGTGCAAAAGAAGGGAGTCCTGCTCTGTACAGCAGTCTGTTGGCATTATCTAATCCATGAGTAAGAAGTTAAGAGCAATAATTTTTTTAATGCATAACCTCATTATTACTGTTGGTTTTATTGCAGTAATGCTGCTAATTTGCACCGGTTTAGCGTGGAACTATATGGTACTGATACTGCTTTATAACATCAATTCAAGTGAGTATTGCAAGGGGAAATGCATTTTCACAGAAGCAGCAACTAATTTTAGTAGCAAGAAGTTTACAATATTCTTCTTTTGGTAATGATTGGAAAATACTGAAAAATATTAATTAATTACTTCAGATGGGATTGATCAGTCCTGACACTTAAATACAGCAAAGCATGGTTTTCTTTTATCCAGCTACAGTGTCTGTTTCCCTCTTTGTGCATCTGTATGAGAAACACATGCTGCTTTTTTTGATCCCTGGCCGTGTATCTTCCTTTTATTTTACCTTTGATTATAGGTTCTTCTGGGTTTTCCCTCTTCTTTTTTTTTTTTATCTCTCACATACAGTTAAGGGTGTTCTTTCAATCTGTTGGGTTTTGATGTATTTGCTTACTGCAGCAGGTGGCTTGAAAGTGTTAGCAAAGATTTTGGGCTGATAAATTGCGCTCACACCAGAAGCTAAATTTGGTCATCTGACATGTGTGTAAAGGATCAGCCCACACATTAAGCTTGCAGTTGATCCTTTATGCATTGAGAAACCAGACTTCAGAGACTACCTTTTCAGATCTTGGTGAAAGGCTCTTGGTTGCTGCAAAGCGAAATATTTTCATGGGGTGTGTTTATGTGTGAGCTCTAATGTAGGTATAAATGTGATTCATAAGTATGTGGTGCAGCTGATGCTGATTGTCAGTGTTCCATCAAACCTGTGTGTGGGGCTTTTATCACTTTAAACTTAGAATCATGTGCAAGACAACTGTGGTAATATTTTCACATGATTCTTACCTAACTGATTGTGCGATACCTCATCTTATGAACTTCCTGAGAAATCATTACAAAATCTTTAAAATTTTCTGTTCCTCTCTTGATTACAGGGGGACTGTGAAAGTGTGAACTTTGCTGGTCACATTTCTGTTACACCGAGTTTCAGATTCTCTATTTGACATAGATTAAATTCTTCCTATTCTGATGCCTTTTTTTTTTCCCCAAGGCAGTTTTGTATGGCACAGCAGAGGCAATTTGTGCCCCAGGATAGAGAATTCATGCTCCTGACGCTGCTAGCTGAAGAATAATCCAAAGACTGAAGTTGCTCAACACCGTTAGTTTTTAGTTAGGCCATGATCTCACTTCTGTTTGCGGGAGCTATTAAACCGTGAAATGGCTTTCAGTAATCTTCATCACTGAAATCTGTTAAAGTTGTGATGGTGTAAGTTTCTCATTGAGAGAAAAAAAGGCAAGCAAATAGGAATACTGGGTTTCTTGGTTTCTTTTTCCCTCATTGTGCAATGGTTGATTGCCAGTGGAGTCCCACTGTGATTTGCACTTTTGGTTTAATGAAAAAGAGATAGTGAGGCAGCAAGGTTTACTAAGGCCATTTTTTTTCTGAAAGTAAAAATAAAAGGCAATTGAGCCATCCCAGAGCCACAAATCACCAGGGTTTGGGAAAATACTCCGGTACCTCTATATTCAGGGATGTTTTGCTCTTACCTAAATGTTGTAGATTGCTGTCTGAAACAAGATGTTGGTATAGAAGCACGTTTGGCTGTATCTGATTAAAGCTACCTTTCCCAATGTTTTGTGTTTCAATTGGAGAATGATCTTTAAAGCAAAGGCTAAAATCTCTGCTTGCCTATGTAAGAGAAATACCTCTATAGGTACAATATGGTTTTCATGTAACCTGCACCTTGTATGTGAACAGTAGGGCTTTTTACTTTGACAGTTTCTATCTGAATGGATTCTTTAATCAAAGTTTCATAGCTTTAGTTCTTTACTCATTGTGGTTCATGAAGCAATTTGAAGTAATAGAAGTGAATGCAACAAAAAGACATCTATGCTTAACCTTGCTAGCCTTCTGTAGTCATGATTTATAATGACTATAAATGCCTTCATAATGAAAGATAATGAGTATGAAAATGTCATTGCATTTAATTAATTATGGATATTTTGATGGTAATGAGCTAATCCTTATGAGCTTTCAGGCTTTGCACCACCACCTCAGCATGCGTTAGAAAAGAGTGAAGTGGCACCCCATGTACTTACGAAACTGAAAGATGCATTTGAGCCTTTCTTAAGATTCTTCAGGCCAGTGAGTAAGTGTCACTTCATCACTGCAGCATTGTTTCTCTTGTCCCTTTCCCTTTCTTGTGTCTTGCTTCTAGTTCACCCTTCCAATTCTACCTGGCAGCATTTAATGTTTTTAAAACCCCCAATCTGATACTGTAGAACTCACTAGATCTCTTCAAAACGGTATTGTTACATGGTCCTTTGGAGCAATTAAATTTTGCTTCTGCTGCTTTACTACCCTCCTACAAATCCCTTCTTTGTCAGTGATGTAATTGCACTAGAAATGCTGGACAGTTTGCTGTAGGATCCACCTTTGATCTAAACTACTTCTCTAGTCTTCCCACATACACATAGGACAAAAAGAGCAATTCGGCACATCCTAAATGAGAGAAGGATTCTGCACCATGGTGCTCACTGTTGGCTAGGGAAGGCTCCAGTCCAGCTTAGACTGGACTACTGAAGTTAAATGCCAAGAACTACATTATTTCATAAAATTGAGACAGAAAATGCAATGCGGATTTGCTAATATCAGTAAGAAAGATATCTTCGAATAGAGAAAGGGTTTGGCATGTATAAAGATTGCAAGATCTGTAATCGAATCACAGATAGAAAGGAGAAGCGGAGATATGGTGGAGTTTGCGATCTTCAGGGTGGTAAGGAGGGTGCATAGCAAGCTGTCTAAACTGGTCTTCGGGAGATCAGGCTTTGGTCTCTTAAGGGATCTGTGTGGTAGAGTACCATGGGATAAAGCCCTGGTAAGGGACAGGGAGCTTGAGAAAGCTGGTTAATATTCAAGGATTGCCTCTAACATCAGGAATGATGCATACCAACAAAGGAGGTTGTGGGAAAGAATACCAGGAGGCCTGCATGGATAAACAGGGAGCTCCTGGACAAAGTGCAGCACAGAAGGGAAGCCTACAGAGGGTGAAACAAAGGTAGCCTGAGAAGAGTATAGAGAAATTGTCCAGTCAGCCAGGGATCATGTTAGGAAAGCTGAAGCCTTGATAGAATTAAATCTGCCAGGGATGTCAAGGGCAACAAGAAAAGCTTCTACAGATGAAAGGAAGATGAGGGGAAAATGTGGGCCCTCTCCAGAAGGAAATGGGAGATGTGATTATTCAGGACATGGGGAAAGCTAAGGTACTCAATGACTTTTTTTGTACTGGTCTTCACCAGCAAATGCTCCAGCCACACCACCCAAATAGTAAAGGCAAAGGCTGGGAGAGTGAAAAACCATCTGCTATACAGGGTGATAGGTTTGAGACCATCAGTAACTGATTAAATATCTTGGGCATTTGGTCCTACAAGCTGATTTTCAGGTGCCTATAGAAACATGCAATTAGTGTCGACCAGAGATGGTTTGCTGCAATGTATCCTATGCTTGCTGGCCCCTTAAAAAAAAAAATCAAAAAACAAATTTAAGATTTTTTTTTTTAATTAAACAGTCCTGTCAGAAAATTGCTTGTCTCTCCTACTGATTTTGCAAACCTAAATACAAAAAAGCTGTACAATGATGCTTAGACTGGGGTTTGTAAATGTTTCATAAGAAGAGCAAATTACAGAGGATTTTGGAAGACATTTTAGCTTTCCTGTTAAATTTAATATAAAGATTAGTTCTGGGGAAAAAGCATACATGAAAATCAATGATAATTTTTTTTTTTTCAGGCAGATTTATCTTATGAAAACATACTAGGGTCATGAAAATGTTAACTTCCCTCTGAGCATTGCTCCTAGAATAGAGATCTTACGTATTATTTCTTTTTCTTTAAAGCATGCCGTCACAGAGAAGGACAAACCTTAATTCCTTGTCCTGTAGGAGCTGGCCTTAACACAACCAAATGCTTGGAAAATAACTGTTGTCCTTTCCAAACCAGCTATGAACCAATTTGTTATATGCCATTCAAAGACAGTAAGTATACTTCTGTAGGTAACTACCTCATAGCCAAATGCTGCTTCTGGTCAGACAATGTGATTTTTCATTTCTGTTTCTCCCTTAAGTTTCTCACGTCGCCGCTCTCTTCAGTGTAAGTGTAAGCTTGCATTTATTTCTGAGCATGTATATTAAGACAGAAAATAATTGATTCAAATAATTAGCTGGATATCTTGTCAACCCCAGCACAAGCAAAGAATGTGATGCAAATAAACCTAGTAAAATATGTTAGTGTAAAGAATGAAGACTATTTGTGGAAAGGGGGGATTAATTCAAAGTAGTAGTGGCTCTGTGAAAGTGCTATCAAGAAAAGGTGGGGGAATTGGATGTATTTAATTTGGGGAAGAGGAGGCTGATTGGTTGCTTAATAGGTACTGAAGCCTGTTTAATAATGCAGTTTCTAAGATGAGCAAGCCACAGATGCTTGGTAGAACCAGATGATAAGCGGGAATTACCGCTAATTGTTTTTTGGGAAATTTAGCTTGGACATTAGGTGGGGGAAAAAATTCTTCAGGAAAGTAGTGCAACTCTAGAACAATCAGAAGTAATAAGAAAGGTTCTGGAGTCTCCATCCTTGGAGGGTTTTCCAAGACCTGGCTAGGCAAAGGCACAACTTGACCTCATTTTGTTGGTAACCTTGCTTCAGGAAGAAGGTTGATCAACCAAGATCTGCAGAAAACTCTTACAGCTAACACTTTTTGTGGCTCTGTTCTCAAATTCTAGCCTTAACATAGTATTTTACCTTGTTTTTTTTTTTTTTTAGTTTGAGCATAGGTTTGGTGTACATGGGTTTTCTTCTGTCTCAGATGAAAGAATGCAGCAAACTTTTTGTATGTCCTACCTTTGCACATAACTGTGGTAATTTCTGCTTCACTGTAAGGGATGTATCAAATCTTAACATTTTTCCTGTTTATACAGCTTGGTAGAGACAGTTGCTTTTCACAGTGAAGTTGCTTCAGCAAACTGAAAAATACAAGGAAGTTAGAGGCCCTTTATTAGGCACAGAATTATTGGTGTTGAAGGGACCTCTCAAGAACATACAGTCCAATCCTCCCTGCTCAAGCAGGTTCAGCTGCAACAGGTTTCCCAGGGGCTGTACTATAGCAAGAAGGAAAGCTGTACAGTGAAAATTACAGCTCTTCTGTTCATTTGAAGGGCACACACTCAAGCACATGTTAAAATTAAACATGCTTATTCAGTTGTGACTACTTGATTCCTCATTCCAGTTAAGCTTTTATTGTTTGGACATAAATATCAAGGGCTGACTATTTTACAGAATTATTTGCTCATAGATTAATTAGCTACTAGAGTGCTCCTGTATGTACAACATATGTCCAAAGAAAGTACAGACATTTACTGCCCTTGGAGCACATGCTGTTTGTCTCGTAGCAATCTGTTGACAAAACAGAAGTGCTTAGCAGATATTAAACTCATGGCACTTGTGTTTCTGTAACATGGTCACAGGCTGCATATTCAAACGGTTCTCATCTGGGAGTTTTATCTTGAATTTCACTAGGAATAAAAAGCTTTAAGAAAATGCTGCAAAAGTTGTGAACTGAAGTAGGTAGATAGCATTCATTTGCACAATTTTGTCTCTGTTCCTAAGTATGCAAAGAAGTTTCTGAAGGACTGTGTTATCCCCCCACCCCTATGCCCAGGGCTCACTGAAAACCTAGTTGCTTCTGAAACTAAGCAAACTTGGGCTGTTCAAATGTGTCAAATTTGAGACTTGATCTTTCTCACCTGAGCTCATTTCTAAGACCTGCTTTTTTTCATTGTGTTGTTGGGTGAGATATATGCATGTCTGTTTTCGAGGTTAATCTCTGTCATCTATATGTCAATATATATCTGGTATATATTGGAATGATTCACATCCGGTATATATGGAATGATTCTCATCTAATGCAAGCCTCTGCTGACTCTACAGATATGCAACTGACATTTCGACTGATTGCGCTTGTGGCAGGAGGATTTATAATTATGGGGTGTCTACCACTCTGTTGCTGTGCCATTTTGCAGAAATGGTAAGCATGAGAGCACGACCAGATCAAATTTCTAATGTACTGCTGCTAAACACAGAAAATATGGATAATTGATGTATTTGAAGTCAGGGGATAAAAGACAGGGGAAAAAAAGGCAAGAAACTAATGTGCAAACATAATCGAGTCCTTTGATTTTGAAGCTACATGAAACAGCATCAGTTAGGCTTAAGAAAAAAAGCTTGTTACTGCCCCAGTACTCTTTCTAAAGACCCAGTTATAAAGGAATTAGACTTAATCTTACTTCCCTGGATTGAGAAGTTGCATGTAAACCATGAAGGCCAATATCCTGAGGTATGGAAGACTTGGCTTTTGCTCCCTTGACTCTCCTATATTTTCCACCACTTTCTGCCCCTGTTTCCCACCAAAGGCTAGTATATCCATCTGTGTTAGTGGAAGCTGTTTTCCATTTTCTTCTGTTTGAAAGCAACACCAGCAACTGGCAGGTGTGGGCAAAAAAGTTGGCAAATGAGAGTTAAGAGCAAATCAAGCTGTTGGGCAGCTCACAACACTGCATGCAGCCCAACCTGTTCAAACAGAATACGTTTGTAGGACACTGTGTCCTGAGTGTAAAGAAAACCCAGAACATCAGAGAAAAAAAGAGAAAAATGAGAAAAAAAAAAAGGAAGTTTTGAGGAAAAGTCAATTTCGTGTTGTAATGTACATTTAAACAAACCAGTGAGAAAACATTCTGCCCCTTGTCTTAGCCCTCAAAAATCATAGGGAGGAGGGAGACAAAAATGGTCCTTTAACCACTGCCTTCTAAGGCACTTCTTCAAAGTGACATGCACAAGGAATGAGTTACCCAAAAGGTAACAGGGAAGAAATGAATGTGGAAAAGCAGTTTGTAAAGAACAGTCAGTAGAAATGTGTCATTGTGGAATAGACCTGGAGTTATGCAGTAAGACACAGAAGGAATGAACAAACTAGTAGGCCTAAAAAGAGTACAAGAGGTGGGCTGGGAGCATGCCTGGGAGAAAAGCGAATTAACTATCTCTGATGCTTCTAATGTGCAGTGCATCTTTTTCAATGTATGGGGCACATTACAGCCTGTGAGTGCAATGGAGTTACGTGTTTGATGTTGTGAAGAGTTTTGGCATGTGTATATGTTATGATAATGGAAAAATGTAAGCTCCACAACATCAAAATTATTGAACTGAAATTGTGCTTTGTTTTTCTAAGGTGGTAGTTGATATTGAATAACTAATGCTGTAGCTTGGTAAATATGACATATATTATACAAGCTATATATAAATACGTCTTTTTTGTAAAGATTTTTTTCTCCTGTTGAACTTTTGCTTTGCTAAGGCATTAGTAGTCTGTGTGGGAACATATACATACACGTACACGCACACACATAGACTTTACTAATGTGGCTGACTAGCAGATGGCTATTTGCTGTGGAGTTCCACATTTAGACAAAACCTGCTGTGAAAATCTCCACATTACATCTTATGCTGTGCTCAACAGCTGATGTTCAGCATACAGATAGCTGCACTGAGTCATCAGTGACTCTGAAAACAGGAGGCAAAGAATTAACATGAAATTATCATAAATTTTCTGGAAAATGAATTAATATGTGTTCGTTTTGAGAGAATTCACATTAATGTTTAAATTATCATTTCTGTGGTTTTTTTCATAGCTAGGGAAATTAGCAATATTGCTGTTCTGCTATGACTTGGGTTTTGCTTTGTCTTTTCAATGCAGTGATTAACCAGATGCTGAATGGTTTTAATTTGCAACACCATATATTTGAATTCGAGGAAAGGACCAGTCCTATAAGAGTGTAACTTTCGAGTTTTACGAGTTTTAGAGACAGCTGATAGATGATATGGCTTTGAAAAGCATTCCTTTAATGAGCCTCAAACCTTCTCCCTGGATGGAAATTCTTTTAACTTCAGTGTTGTACAGTTCTCGTTGAGAGGGTGCTACATATGATGCCAAAACTGTACTGCAGTGGATGTACACAAAAGTAAAAATTGTTCTCTAGAGTTATCAATAAACAAGAGGGATAATTGATTAGTTTCACTGTGCTTCTTCTAGAGCAAATTCCAAGGTTTCCCATAGGATCCTGTATTTGTATTTATCTGAATTTATATAAAATACATAATTTTAATATAAATGTATATGAATTATATACATTTAAAGTACATAATAATATAAAATATACATATAAAATAATATATTTTTTATAAATTAATTTTATCTATATTCATTTGTGTGTGTATGTGTGTGTATATATATATATATATATATATATAAATAAATAAAAAAAGATGAAGGGAGAGAGGCCAAACTTGGGCAACTGGAAAGTTTTTACAGGCACTTGTGTTAGGGGTGGCTGTTGGCTGTTTGTTAAGAGATGCTCAGGACTAGGATAGCAGAGGTAATTCCGTAACATGGCCAGATTAAGGACATGTAGAGGCATGGAATTCCTGTAAAATTGATCAAGAGTGGAGTACTCCTCGCCTTGCCATACTTGATCAGCACTAGTAATTTCTTGGGTTACTGAGGCTTTGTTAATTCCGCACCCCACTGATGAGTTGTGTATTTGTCTCCTTCCAATGGTATCTTTTATGCAGAAAGCAGTCCGCACATGCGCATTCCCTGAAGTTGGCAGCTTCTCTTGTGTGCTGTCAACATAACATCTCTTTTCTTGAGCTGGGCTCTCTGGTGCTTTTGCTACGTCTGTAACTGTGCTACACTAAGTTTTTTCTGTTGTGTTAGTCTTCATTAGCATGCAGTGGTGGGTCGGTTAAGATACTGAAGGTTAGGAAAATGCAGGTGCACATCACTAATGCTGTATTTGAATAAGGTTACGTAGGTCTTTTAAAAAATGAGAATTAGAGAAGTCTTCATTTCCTTTGGCCGAATTCCTAGTACAGCTGTGGGAAGCAGGCCGTAGAATTTGCTTTAGTAGTTACTGGGGAAATTTCTGGTCATGGTTGCATTATATGAATTGGAAGGTGAGCTGAAATTCATGATGAAAATGTAAGAGATGGAAAAGCATTTCAATAAGCTTTTCTCTAGCTTTAATCTGCCCATGTTCTAGAGGTGAAATCTTGTGATGGCCCTTGTAATCAACTGTAGCTTTGTGGGTTTTTTCATTGAGCTACGATTTCACAGCTAAAATCTAGGTGATCTCCTCTAAAGTCCTTTTTTGGAAGTCAGCCACTTTCAGCTGTTTTAATATGTTGCAGCCAATGTCTCAATCATTTACGATGGGCAAACAGCAGAGTAGTGAAATTTGTGAAGGGAAGAGCACATACTGAAGAGCTTCGTGGCCTTCTACAAGATTGACTTAAGAAATAAGGACCATAAGAACAGCAACAAAAACAAAAAGGTAAACTAACCTTGGAGGTTTTTTCCATTCTTTCAGTTTAGGATTCTTCTATCAGTTCTGTATAGAATATTAAATGTATGCATTACTAAATCCCAGTCCAGTAGGCTTTATCAAAAGGCACTGTTTATCAGGGACCACCTTCAGTTGGTGTTGTGGGAGAAGTACTGATTGATTGCTGACCCAGGATGATGAATGACAGCAGAGCAAGCCATGGGCAATATTACAGTCCTAGACTTGAGTCCTCTGCCATTTCAGTGTTCCTTTTTCTATGTGCAAACTGTGTCTCATCAGAAAGTGGAAAAGCAAAGTTTTGCCACATTCAGGAGATGCAGATCCATTTACAGCCAGTAAGAGATCTGTCCTTCTGTAGAGATAGGGATATTTTACAGCTGACATACTTGCACAGCTCTACATCTTGGCATTCTTCCTCAATGCTGAAAAGCAGTTGACTACTGAAATAAATGTAATCTGAGTGTGAAATGCTATTTGCTTCACATGAACGTGCCAAACTATGGCCGACTAAAGACAACAATGAAATAAGAAAATGTCAATGAGGTCATTATACAATAAGAAAATATTTTGGGAAGAGTATTTATTTGACAAAAATGTAAAATGTCACTAAACGTAGTTACAATGATGTTTGGTAATAGGGGTTTTTATCCACTTTGTTGTAGAGGAACATCCAGCTGATCTTGAAGATCTCAAGCAGGACAACAGGATTACTTGAGTATGTCGTAAGAAAGATGTTTTGGCTTAGTATCAAAGTAATACAATGTTGTCAACCCTTGATAACACTATTGATTTTGCAAGAGAAGGTCTTAATTTTTAATTCTTGTATGTTTATTCTTTATCTCCTGTACAAAAAAAGCTAATAACACTGAAAAGCAAAACTGCTCGTGAAAGTCTTGAATAATAAAGCCTATTTTGTCTAATTGATACAACATCACAGTGGAGGGAGATAAAAATACCAGTTAATTGCCTGTTTCCATTTAGTGGTCAGTCTTAGAATAGTATCTGGATTAAGAGGAGAATGTTGTCATTCATTAAATTGGTAGCAAGTGGCAATCTTACTGTTTCACTCATCTGTATTGGATGGCACCATAGCACAGTAGTGCTGCTCTTGCTGAGGAGAATGGCTAATTCGCTACCAGGCTGCAGAGGACTTGGGAATCCCATTGTTGGGCAGTTGCTTTAAAGGTACATCTGGCAAAAATACAAAGTACTCAAGGAAACCGTTAGTGTTTTCTCTGGCACTGTTTCTCTACATGGTATATCACTGCACCTCAAGACTTTGTGAGCTTTGAATGGCCTGCCTCCCAAGGTAGGTGATTTCCAAATGCAATTTCTCTCAGTTTCCCTGTAGTGTAACAAAAATAACAGAAACAAACATGTAACAGTTCTCAGCAGATGGATGCAAAATAAAAATGAGCATCTAAAAGAATGTCAGTTGAAATCAGTGTTGCCCATAATAATGCAATCACTGGTAATTTTTCTTTGGGTCTCTGAACTCCATGTAGCGGAATTTCCAAGAGCTACAACTGGGAGGAATGGAGCTGTGCTCCTAAGGTGGAGCTTAAATAAAATGAGTGACTCTTTGAAGCTCTGTGTACTTCCAGGATTCCCCATTAAATGAATTTTTTTCTTTGCTTCATCAGTCCCCAAAAATAGCATCACTTAAAATCCAAGCATAATATGGGTGGGATATGCACATGGGCAGTCTCATATAGTTGTCGGAATACTTACTGATGATCAGACATAGCTATACGCAGGAGCTTTAAAGCCTGATATTGCAACCATTGACAGTAGCATGACAAATAATTTGGTTATAATTTTGGAAGCACATGTATTATGATGTTTTTAATGTGGAGCAGCAGAATGATGGAAGCTGAATAGGGCTCTGTTTGCCTTCCAAGTCTGATATGTATTTACTGTTCCTTGATACTATTTTTAGGAATGGTGAAGTATGCATATAGACATTTTGACACAGATAAAACCAGTTTCCTGCTACATGAATTTAGGGGCACTGTCACAACTGAAATGTGCATGTTATAAACCACACAGATCCTCATGGCTGATAGTGATTATGGAGAGAGTTTTGTGCTCTGGAGAAAGTTAGGCTTTCATATGGTGCTTCATGATTTTGATTTGAAGGGTAATAAATTCCTTCTGTTTCCGTGTCATTGACAGCACAACTGCTTTCAGTGTCACATAACCTTCTGACAAAGGGATGCATACTGGTAAAACAACGGTATTTAACAGTAAGCAATCAATGCATCTGCAGTAACTGTATCTGGCAGCACCAGAACACGATGAGCATAAGCAAAATATATGCACTGTAAGAGGAGAAGGAAAAGCGAGAGTTTATATTTCCCCTAGTGAGACAGTAGTCAAGAGCATTGTGCGTGGACTTGGGCCCTGTCCCTTTTCCATGTAGCAGTTTTGTTATAAAGATATTCTAAAAAGCTGGAAGTCTTGCTTTTCAGTTGGAGAAGACAAAAGCTCTGATTTTAAATTTTAATTTCTATAGTAGCTAGACAGTTCCTTGAATCAACAGCTGTCAGGCATGCGTACTGCATAAATAACTGCTGTCTGTGCCTCAGATGTTGTAATAGGTGTTTCACTATGATTGCAGGTCAAGATTATCACCTTGGGATCAAATCACAGATATTCATTCACAGGCCTGTTTGTGATGCTAACTGTACCGAGATTCACATAAATGTGGATGTTTTGATCCAGATCCCTTTCATAATATTTGGTTTATTTTTCTTAATCTTGCACTTTAGCATACTACAGAACAATTTGAGCATGGCATTACCCCACATCTACCTGGAGCATGTAGTCTCCCCAGTGCTTAAACTGCTGGTGTGTATCTTCTCTACCAAACTGCATGTTGCTGAGCCAAACTCAATTTTCCTTTGTCCTTTCCATCCCTTCAAAGATCTCAATTAGGGCCCCAGGTCAGCTGCAAGAAGGCACAAGCATTCTTATAAGGCTTCTCACAGTGCCTTTGTGGATACTGAGAGAAGCTGCTCACAGCTGGGTGCTGTTCCCAAGTCCACAAAGCAGAAACCTTCCACCCTCAGTCCCACATAGAGTCACCTTCAGTACTAAAATCAGGGACCACAAGATGGTGCTGCAGGAAAATCTTTTTCCCTCAGTGGTTTTGGTTTCTGGAGAGTGTTACTGATTTCTACCTTTTACAATGTGGTTCATCAAGTCACAGAAAGGCAGATAGTGTACAACAGAGCAATGGTCACTCAGGAAAAAAGACAACATAATACAGCATATGGTGCCAAGGCTTTAGAAGACTTGCAAAGTATACAAACTGTTGCTGGTGGCTTTAGATCTGTTCTCCCTCCTATTGAACTGATACACATTGAAACAGAAGAGCTCTCAGTGGAGCATCCCGCTTTATCTTCACAAAGATTAAATAAATACAAGGCTAAACAACCCGCCCCAATGCACAATAGCTGTGTCTGAGAGCGGATGCTGCTATTCTAGAGCCAGGAGCTGTGGTAGTGCTTCGGCAGTAGTACAGCTCTTTCATCACACCACCCGGAGCCTGCACCATGTCTAATGCCATAAGGTTTGTCTCATTTTCTGTTCCTTCTGAAACCTAACTCGCACCTGTAACCACAGTCTGTAAAACTAAGAGATGGTTTTGGAAAGCTTTAAAGCAATATGAAATGCTAGCATTGCACTGCAGGCAATTGTGGCAATATCTGGTACTTCTCTTGGTCTGACCTTTAGAAAGCTTTCAAAGTCATGAGAATTGAACTGAAAAAATAAACACAATAGAATAAACCCAAACTTCAGAGTTATAGTGAGAGAACAGACTTGAACCATAAAGCTCAAGAATCCAGACCCAAATACAGATTTGTATTTGAGCAAAATCCCTGTGACTGGGGATTTGCCTCATGTTTTTTGAAGGCTTGAGGTTCAGTTCTGAGGCCTATTTTACCCAGCTGAGATTCATGCAATGCAAGATTGTGCAGATACAGAAGGAGAATGTACTTCATTGCTCAACAAATATTTTCCCAGCTTGTCTCCGTGTAAAGGATGCAATTTTGAAACTTTATGGTTCTTCTGATCCTTTGCCGACCTAAGCTGGGATGCATGGCTAAAATGAAATGCAAAGGTCTCCCTGGAGGAAGTGTTTCATGCTCTCCTGCCAGCTCCCAGTGGAGCGGCTGGCTCTGTCAAGCTCAGTTTTGCTTCTGATCTTTGTGCTCCAAAACATTTTTGTTATCACAAAAAATTGGAAGGAATAAAAAATGTTTTTGCTACATGAAAGTGAAAAACTGTCCACAGCTGTACTCTCCTTCTGCATTCCACTGTACCATTTCCAAGTGTCTTCCCAAAAGGCATGTTTCTTACTACACTGTCTCTTCACAGAATCCACTATCCTATGTATATCTCCCATCCAAGAAGATAAATCTTTTGAGCATGTGTGTGTGTTCTGTGTACAGGTAAGTGGAATAGAGCTTCACTCTACAGCAGCCCTGTCTCTGTAATATCCACCACCGTCGCTATCCTGGTAGCTTTGTGGGTTTGGTAGTGTCAAGTGGCACTCAGGCAATGTGGGGAGGATGATGGCAATTCTACAAAAAGCTGCCCTCTAAGAGGGAGCATGGCTACGAGTGTTACCATCCTGCTGCATCCCATCCCCCTGATTTTCAAGTATATGATTTTTTGAGTCTGTAAGGCTGGAGCTGTTCAATATTCCATCTAGTGCAGCTCATCAGCTGAGTTGAAGTGAACTGATAAAAGAACTTTTAGAAAAGGAATTTTCTGATGCATCTGCTTGGCTTGCCATTTAGCACTGCACTTCTGCACAGCCTCCTGTTAAGCTTTTTACTGGCTTTCCAAGCTTTTACCATTTCCTTAGTTGAGGTACTTGATCCAGCACTAATACACATGATCTAAATGTGGGATGGAGGAACTAACGCAACAAAAAGAGTACAGATAACAAACATCCTGTGCTTAGTAGTTGCTGGACAGCTAGGAGATCTGAGGAGATAATATGCATACAAAATGCTTCTGCGTACATTACTTGTTCCGGGAGCCCTGCTTCAGTTAAATGCTCCAGGTAGGTATTATTGAAAAGCAATTTCTTCAATTAAACATGTCCTTGCAAATTGCAGTAGCTAAGCATATAAGAATTGTGGTTGGCTATGTGATGCATCTTTTCCCATGTTCTTCAAGGAAGGGCAGGAAAAAGTTAATTCCTGTTCCTAACATTGGGTGCATTGTTAGCTGATATTTCTAGGTTGGTTTTTTTTTTTTTCAGATGCAAAACTGATAGCTTTAAGGAATGATAGAGTTCAGTTTGAAGGAGGGGGAGCTCTCACGGTCTATATGAACAGTTATCAGAAGCAAGGAAACCTGAGAGCCTGGGGGAAAACAGTTATCGGGATGGTGCTGACCAGTTATTTTGATGACACAGTAGGTGATTGAGATCTAGCTTTTAAATAGTGGATAAGCATGACAAATCACTGTTATGGTCTTCCTCATTCATAACAGTCCTAGAATGCTATAAAACAACTATGCTTTAAACCGTGAAACATCTGGGGCTGGGGTACATCAACTAAAGACCAGGCTGTGCAAGCTGGAAAGGAAGAGAAGGGAGATCATGGGAAAAATAACCTTGTGAAAAAGACATGGAGCGTTTTACCAGAATGCAATAGAATCTTACTTTCATTTGGCTTTTGCAATTTATTTTTGTTGTATGTGACCATGTATGACCAGCCTGAAAGCCTGTCGCAGGAACTGCTGCAAGCATTTATTGTATGTTTTTATCAATAGCTTGTTTTGGTTTTATTGTGGTTTTATTTATTTCGGTTTTGGTTTTTGTTTTTAAATGAAGCATGACTACAATTAATCGAAACTCATCAGTGCAGCTAGGTAGGAAGCAAAAGGTTAACAGCAAATTCTGTTTTACTGGTTGAGGATGCTACTAGAAGCATTTGCTCAAATGGTTGTTTTACACATGCAGTGGCATCATCCAGTTTAAATCCTGCTGTGTTTCTTTGCCAACAACTGCTAGTGAACATTTGCCCACCTTCCCTGCTGCTGAGTAGTATCAGGATTAGATGCAGGGAGGCGAGCAGGCTTACAACTTCATCTGTTGGCACCACAGGAATGCAGGAGCAGAACAGCATGGCAATAGGGAAAACTTTCAAAATCATCAATTTTAAGGTCTTACTTCAAAATGGCTATTTCCGAGCTGGAGGGGTGGGGGGTGGGGGAAGGGCATCTTTCCCCAAATGTGCAAGGAAAAAGAAAAAAGCAGCAAGAAAAAAATATTTTTCCAATAAAGACACAATGGGCAGTTATTTATTATCCAACTTAGCAGGCAGGTGGATGTCTGCAAAACTGTACTGGGAAGTAGATTTTGAC